TGGATTTATACCCCGCCCTTCACTACCCGAATGAATCTTGGAGCAGCTTACAATCTCCTTCCCCTTCCCCTCCCCACAACAGACACCCTGTGAGGTCAGTGGGGCCGAGAGAGCTCTTTCAAGGACCGCTCTTGAGAGGACAGCTCTGAGATTCCTGTGACTGACCCAAGGTCCCCCAGCAGGCTTCATGTGATGAGTGGGGAATCAAACCCGGTTTTCCAAATTCAAGTCCGCCGCTCTTAACCACTACACCAAACTGGCTCTCTTGGTGCAGTGGTTAAGAGTGTCAGTGCCAGACTAGCATAGTGGTTAAGTGTGTCAAACTAGGATCTTGTGCTGAGTCAAACTGATTGAATCCTCACTTGCATTTCTTCTTGGGCAAACGATTTCTGGGCACTATAATGTATCAGGGGGAAGACACTAGGGGTTGGATAAGATCTTAGGGAGGGGGCGTGGCTCAGTGGAAAGGCATCTGCTTGGCATGCAGAAGACAGGCTTGCAGGGTCCCCCACCAGCGGGGGATGGGGGGGGAGGATTGCCAGATCCAGGGGGGGAAACTCCTGGAGATTTGGGGTTGGAGCCTGGGGAGAACAGGGACCTCAGTGGGATGCAATGCCACAGAGTCCACCCTCCAAAGCATCCATTTTCTCCAGGGTAACTGTGCTCTGTAGTCTGGAGGTGACCTGTAATTCCAGGGGGTCCCCAGGGCTGGATTCCTATGAAGAAAGTCCCAGGTTCAGTCCCTGGCATCTCCAGCTAAAAGGATTAGGCAGTACTGGATGTGAAAGGCCTCTGCCTGAGACCCTGGAGATCCACTGCCGGTTTGAATACCCAGGTTCGGGCCACCGTGTGACACAGAGTGCTGGAGTGGATGGGCCATTGACCTGATCCAACATGGCTTCTCTTACGTTCTTATGCTCTTGAGAACAAATTTGGTGTAGATGTTAGGAGAGCGGACTCTAATCTGGGAGATTCCCCACGCCTCCACATGCAGCTGCTGGTGTGACCTTGGGTCAGTTACAAGTTCTCTCAGAGCTGTTCCCTCAAGGGCAGCTCTCGAAAGAGCTCTCTCAGCCCCACCTACCTCACAGGGTGTCTGTTGTGAAGAGAGGAAGGGCAAGGAGATTGTAAGCAGCTCTGAGACTCCTTCGGGTAGTGAAGGGCGGGGTATAAATCCATCCTCCTCCTCCTCTTCTTCTTCTCCTTCTTCTTCTTCTTCTTGTGAGTAGACAATACTGGTCTGACTTTGAAAAGTACGCAAACGGAGAGTAATTTCAGCAAAGCGTACTTTATTCTATCCGGAACAAGACGACTTTGGCCGGCTCGCAGGCCGGCTTATATTCCCCGAGAAACCGCCACCCAAAACACACCCCAATAGGTTATTTACAGCGGCCAAGAGTCCCATTGGCTCTCGGCCAGGAACCTAGCCCCCTGATTGGAGCGGGCTAGGATCCGCATAGTCCATTGTCTCTTGGAGCGAAGCTCGATGTTTGTCTCTGGACTTGCCTGGACATGTCTGGACTTGTCAGGACTTGATACACCACAGACTTGGTATAAGGCAGCTTTATCTGTTCATCTCGCAGATCCCTGGATCTGAGCCTTAATCTTATGCACACAGGTCTACAGGAGAGGCACCACTGTTCCCTCTAAGCTGTGCGCACGAGCGGCTGCTCAATAACACAGGAAGCCCCTTCAGCAGCAACCTGGGGCCGTGCGGGATCTTGCACTGCCCATTACCCAATCGTAAGATTACAGCAGTTCTATTCTGCTCAGGATGTGAACTGCTCCTCTCAATGGGGAGGAGAATTAGAGGGGACATTGAGAGACACTTGGAACTGTCTGCAGATAGACATCCAAATGAGGCACATTAGAGGCTTTATGTTTCCCCCCCCAAAAAAAAATACCTGTAGCAACGGTGCCGTAACAGCTAGTCCCAAAGTACTTTAAAAAATGGAACCTGAGTCCTAAGTCGAGTCATGCACAATGCTGCCCGTTAAGAACGCCTCTAATAAAAATTTAAACTGACAAGGCGGCCTAGAGGGACGCATTGCCACATTCTATTATCGCCACATTTGGTTATTGCCACAGTCTATTATTATAGCCTTTCCCCCCTTAAAACCTGTATCTGCTCTTATTTCAGTCACTCGCGTGGAAACGGGCAGCAGGACGGCTTGTGAGACAGATCCAAAAAAGGGGGGGATATCTAAACAGGGTTCTGCTCTTCTGCTGAACTCACCCGACAGTGATAAAGAGAACCAGTGTGGTGTAACGGTTAGAGACTTGGACTAGGGTCTGGGAGAACCAGGTTCGAATCCCCATTCTGCCATGGAAGCTTGTTGGATGACCCTGGGCAGTTGCATACTTTCAGCCTATCCTACCTCACAGGGTTGTTGTGATGATAAAATGGAGTTAGGGAGAAAACTGTAAGCTGCTTTGGGTCCCCATTGGAGAGAAAACTGGGGTACAAACAAGAAGAAGAAGAAGAAGAGGAGATTGGATTTATACCCCGCCCTTCACTACCCAAAGGTGTCTCAGAGCGGCTTACAAACTCCTTTCCCTTCCCCTCCTCATAACAGACACCCTGTGAGGTGGGTGGGGCTGAGAGAGCTCTTGACAGAAACTGCTCTTTTTCAAGGACAGCTGTGCCAGAGCTTGCGACTGACCCAAGGTCACATCAGCAGGTGCAAGTGGAGGAGTGGGGAATCAAACCCGGTTCTCCCAGATTAGAGTCCGCACACTTAACCACTACACCAAACGGCTCTCACAACAAGAAGAAGAGATTGGATTTACACCCCGCCCTTCTGTTGAGTCTCAGAGTGGCTTACAATCTCCTTTCCCTTCCCCTCCCCACAACAGACACCCTGTGAGGTAAGTTGGGCTGAGAGAGCTCTGAGAGAACTGCCCTTTCAAGGACAGCTTTGAGAGAACTTGTGACTGACCCAAGGTCACACCAGCAGCTGCACGTGCAGGAGTAGGGAGTCAAACCCGGTTCTCCCAGATTAGAGTCCGTGCACGCTCCTAACCACGACACCAAACTGGCTCTCAAACTAAAGTGTCTCCGTTGACCAGAAGTTGCTCATCAAGGTCTCAGCGTAACAGGCCAGATCCTCCATTATCCTCACCCACTCATACGTGGCCCATTCAGTCACAGGGTTGCCAAGTCGTATCAACCTACCGGAGGGGGAGCGTCTCTCGGCTCTGGAGTTCGTCTTTGATGTGCGCGCATGCGCCGCCAGCGCGCCCCGGAAGTGACGCGCTACGTCGCTCCCGTTGGGGGCGTGGCCCCCATCGTCGGAGGGAAAACCATAGAGTTTTCCCTCCGACGATCCGGGCCACGCCCCCAACGTGAGCGACGTGGTTGTGTCACCTCCGGTGACACAGCCACGCTGCGCTTCGGGGGGCAGAGTTCCCCCGGGGCCCGATTCTGCGGCGGTGGAAATCGGGCCTCCAAAGCGGGGGTGTACCCACCCCCCGCCCCCACTTGGCAGCCCTATTCAGTCATGAGGGAGGCCGATCAAGATGGCGGCCCCCTAGATAAGCAGCATATGAACCGGGAGGACGTTTCCGTAGAGAATGCCCCTGCATCGGCCAACAGCCAAATAGTGGGAAAGACCGGTTCACCTGCGGAGCCTCTGCTGGAAAGTCTGCATGATGTTGGTTTGTATCACGGCACTTACTTCAGTCAGGTCTCCGTATGGAAGGATGGCCAGATCTGATTTCAGGCTGCAAACGCTGACAGCATATCTGTACCTAAGGAAGCAGAAGGAAACAGTCATCAGCAGGGCTTTTTTTGTGTAGAAAAGCCCAGGAGGAACTCATTAGCATAATAGGCCACACCCAACAGCAAAAACCCATTAGCATATTAGGTCACACGCCGGACAGTACAGCTCATTAGCATATCAGGCCTCCATGTTACCAGAAGTGTGGTCATCCAGCCACACCCACCTTTTGCTTCTTATTCTGTTTACCTTGTTTGTTGTCAAAACCCAGGGCCTTTTTTTTTGGTAGCAGGAACTCCTTTGCATGTTAGGCCACACACCCCTAATGTAGCCAGTCCTAATGAGTTCCTGTTGTTGGGTGTGGCCCAGGGGTCTTGTTGTAGAAAAAGAGCTGCCGGAGCTCATTAGCATAACTCATTAGCATAACTTATTTGCATATGCCACGCCCCCTGACATCACCGGAAGTGACAGAAGGCCACACCCCCTGACATCACCGGAAGTGTGTCAGAAGGCCCGGCTACTTACCCTCCTGCTTCATCCTCATTCCCAAACGGAATGAGGATCGAAGCAGAGGGCGGGGTAAAGAAGGGGGCGGGGCTTCACCACGTGACCGCCCCGCCCCCTAGAGGTTCTCTTCCGGAGCGCCGTACCTGAGAGCTCCCCCCCGACTAGAGCCCTGGTGTGGCCTATTATGATAATGAGTTCCTGCTGGGCGTGGCCAATTTTGGAGCCCGCCGGAACTCCATTCCTGTGCGTTCCTGCCCCAAAAATAGCCCTGGCATCAGTCCTCTCGCATGGCTTTTGTCTTCTTCAAAGCCAAAGGGCCTCCATAAGCGAGCTTGAGACATGCTCACCTGAATAGGGAGTCCAGTGAGCGCGTCTTTTGACCCAGTGAGATCCTTTTCATGACCTGGGATTCCCTGATCAATACTTTTTAAAAAAATAAATGGGAAAGCTAATTTGGATGCCAAGGACTGAGGCGCACATTATTTTCAACTTTTGCTTGGTGTGCGTCTGCAGGCTGGGTGAACACTAGAGTTGCCAGACCCCCCAGTGGAGGAGGAGTTACCCCGTTTCCAAGCCTCACTGCCCCACCGCTGATCAGCCGGCCAGAGGGGGGTGGCACTTACCCAGGAAAAGAGTGAGGCCCAGCCAGCGTTGCGGCAACGTGTCTACGTCACTTCCAGTGTGACCCCCAAAGCGACGTCATCACGTCAGTGACGTCAGGGCGACGGTCTGGTATTTGGGCGAAAACTCTGTGTAACGGCCAAATTCACCATAGAGGTTTTGCCCAAAAAGCAGAGCGTCGCTCCAATGTCATTGCATGATGACATCACTTGTGGGTCACGTCGGAAGTGATGTAGACACACGTCGCTGCGACATTGGCCGGGCCTCCCTCCCGCTCCTGGTAAGTCCCCCCACCCCCCCACCAGTTGCCTTGAGGGACCTAGCAACCCTAGCGAACACAGAACTTTTCAATTTATAAAGTGTGTTTGGATTTCATTGTGTCGGTGTTTACAGAAGTCCTAAGAGGTTTGTCGATAGTATTACTTTCATTCTGGAGATGCAGACCTGAGGCTGGTGGCCATGAGAGGAATCGACGGCAGACGTGAGATTTAAACCCATGTTTCCCCAGTGGCGGTGGCTCAAGGGGTTAAGACGCTGCACTGAAGGCTGTGGAAGGTCAGTAGTTCAGCAGTTCGAGACCCGAGTGTGCCGCAAGACGGGGTGAGCTCCCGTCTCTAGTTCCAGCTCCTGCCAACCTAGCAGTTCGAAAGCAAGAAATTGCAAGTAGATGAATAGGGACCACTTCGGTGGGAAGGGAACAGCGTTCCGTGCGCCTTGGTGTTTAGTCATGCCGGCCACATGACCACAAAAACGTCTTCGGACAGCGCTGGCTCTTCGGCTTTGAAACGGAGATGAGCACCGCAACCCCAGAGTCGGACTCGACTGGCTTCCGAGCAAGGGAACCTTTACCTTTTACCTTCCCCAGTCCAAATGCTACCTCACCCCTCCTTCTCCTGCATGTGTAGGGATGCCAGCACTGGAGTGGGAAATTCCTAGCGTTGCCAGCAGTGTTCCCTCTAAGCTGAGTTAGTGTGAGCTAGCTCACAGTATTTTAGCCTCCGGCTCACACCTTTTTGCCTTAGCTCAGGAAGGGAGGGCTCCAGAGCAAACTAATTTATGCAGCAGCCAAATTGTTTGCTCCCAGCTTTAATGCCAGTAGCTCCCTCGATATTATGGTACCCACAAAACAGTTACATGAGAGCCTTTCCAAGTGGAAATGTAAGCGGGGATACAATAAGAGAGACTCCGTGCAAACAGCTACTGCAGCCTGGCTCTCGCTTTTCCAATTATGCAAGAACTCTAGCACAAGTGGGAATATCGTGCTAGATTAAGCCCTGTTTATTTGTTTAGAACATTTTATGAGCTGCCTTTCTACCTTACGGGCAGTCTGGGAGCCAGTCTGGTGTAGTGGTTAAGTAAGTAGAGGTAAAGGTTCCCTTGCTCGAAAGCCAGTCGAATCCGACTCTAGGGTTGCGGAGCTCATCTCCGTTTCAAAGCCGAAGAGACAGCGCTGTCCGAAGACGTTTCCGTGGTAATGTGGCCGGCATGACTAAACACCAAGGCGCACGGAACGCTGTTCCCTTCCCACCGAAGTGGTACCTATTTATCTACTTGCAATTTCTTGCTTTCGAACTGCTAGGTTGGCAGGAGCTGGAGCTAGAGACGGGAGCTCACTCCGTCATGCGGCACCCGGGTCTCGAACTGCTGAACTACCGACCTTCCACAGCCTGCAGTTCAGCGTCTTAACCACTTGAGCCACCGCAGCTCCTAAGAGAAAGTTTTAATTCTGCATAAATTAGTTTGCTCTGGAGCCATCCTTCCTGAGCTGAGACAAAAATGTGTGAGCCGGAGGCTAAAAAACTGTGATCTAGCTCACACTAAGTTAACTTAGAGGGAACACTGGCTCTACCTCCCCCACCCAGTGTCCGGGGTGATGGTGGAATGTGGCAGCCGTGCCTCCTCCATTTACGCTCCACAACACTGCTATGAGGTATGTCAAGCTGAGCAACTGAGCCCGGGGCACCCAGTAAACCATGGCAGAGCGGGGATCTGAACTGGGGATCTGTTGGTTCTCCTTCCAGTCCCATTCTGGCTCCCGGTTCCGATTTCCCTCTGCTCAGAGGAGCGTGGCTTTATAATGAGTCTCACAAAACAGGAAGCCACGTGCCCAGACTGAAGTGACACCAATTAGCCGTGTCAACTCTCATTAGTTTGGATTTCTAGGGATGCCCCCGTGGGTGAGCCGCTGATGGATTTAACACCTCCGTTCTTTTTTCTCTCTTCGTTTCTTTCTTTCTTCTGTCGTGGAGATTTAGACACGAAAGCTGTAGCAGCTGGAATCAGACACACGCCACATGACAACATGAAAAGAGCGATAATTGAACCGCCAGGGCTGGAAGCCGGGGTCCTCAGGAACCAAAACACGGGGCTGGCGAGGGCAATCCCATTAAGAACAATAAAGGCCGGGGGGCCCCCAGGCCTAGCACCTCCTCCCCTCCCTGAGCTAGCTTAAATTGCAAGATGAAATATCTCCTGTTGCCTTAAAGTGTTGGGAAGGAGACTAGTGTCGGGAGAAAACGGTTGCTGTGAGATGAGTTTTTGTGCATACTTCAGAAAATCTGTTATCCCTGTTATCCCTGCATACCTGAGGGACCACCTTTCCCCATATGTTCCCCAGAGAGCACTGCGATCTGGGACCCAGAATCGGCTGCTCCTCCCGAACATCAAGGTGGCCAGGCTTGTGACAACAAGGGCCAGGGCTTTCTCAGTGGTGGCTCCATTCTGGTGGAATGAGCTCCCGGAGGAGATCAGGGCCCTGCTGGACATGTTACAGTTCCGCAGGGCCTGTAAAACGGAGCTCTTCCGCCAGGCCTTTGGAACCTCCACCACCACTGCCACCACTGACATCTGACAGTTACGGAGAGTGAGCCCGCCCCCCGCCCCCCCCCAAGTATAGCCTGACCCAAGTGCCTGGGAGATCTGAACGAGACTAAGAATCGGATTGTACGTGAGGAATCAAATGCGAGCACTTTAATACGCTGTATAGTTGTGGTTTTAACTTTTGTATGGTTGGATTTTATATGGTATATTGTATTATTATATTGCATTGTTTTGTATTGTGCTGTAAGCCGCCCTGAGCCGGCCTTGCTGGGAGGGCGGGGTAAAAATCTAATGAAATAAATAAATTGTTAAGTCGGTTACTTAACAAAGAGTCAGAGAGTGATTTCAGCAAAAGATCAGCTTTATTCAGCAACTCATAACTCAACTCCAAACAGATCAACATCTGATAGCCAGAACAGCTTTAGCATTGAAGCTGTTCCACTTTTAAACTCTCCCGGCTAATATAGCCACGCCTACTATGCAAATACCAACCTATGAGGTTGCAGGGATAAGGTCCAATCACAATAGTGCCCGCTCTTGGAACTGGCTGTTGGTGATTGGTCGGCTCTTCCTGGGCTACCAATTACATTTGAGGGATTAGGATCCTAGCCCAGGAATGAAGCTTCACATGGTGATTCAATGACCGTGTTTCTCATACATGCATGGGTCAGATTGAATACACCACATAAATAAATAAATCTAGAGTTTGCCAACTCTGGGTTGGGAAATTCCTGGGGGATTTGGGGGAGGAACATGGGGAGGGAGGGGTTTGGGGAGGGAAAGGAGCTCAGCGGAGTATACTGCCATACAGTTCACCCTCTGAAACTAACACTTCCTGCAGGTCATCTCTGTAGTCTGGAAATCAGTTGTAATTCAAGGTGATCGCCAGATTGAGAGCCACCTTCGTGTAGTGGTTAGGAGCATGGGCTCTAATCTGGGAGAACGGGGTTTGATTCCCCACTCCTCCACATGCAGCCAGCTGGGTGACCTTGGGTCAGTCATAAGTTCTTTCAGAGCTGTTCTCTCAAGAGAGAGAGCCACTTTGGTCTAGTGGTTCAGAGCGCGGACTCTAATCTGGGAGAACTGGGTTTGATTCCCCACTCCTCCACCCACAGCTGCTGGGTGACCTTGGGCAAGCCATAGTTTTGTCAGAGTTGTTCTCTCAAGGGCAATCCTCGAGAGAGCTCTCTCAGCCCCACCTACCTCTCAGGGTGTCTGTTGTGGGGAGGGGAAGGGAAAGGAGATTGTAAACTGCTCTGAGACACCTTTGGGTAGTGAAGGGCAAGGTTTAAATTTAATATCTTCTTTTCTTTTCTGCCTAGAGTTTTGTAACCCTGCCGGTATATTCCCCCGCCCCCATGCATCTAATTGCAGCTGGTGAGGTGGGGGTGAATCAGGGAAAAGATATAGCGTTAGAGTATTGCAAGTTCACTTATTTCTGTCATGAAAGAGTTAAACTGTCTGCTTACATATGCTAATGCCTGTGTTAGCCAGCAAGTTAGTCTTAGAGCCAATCAGGGATCCATCCTTGCCTCCCACCAGGTAAGAAAGAAGTCCTGCCCTAGAGAGATGAATAGCAGAAAGACCATTGGTTCTTTGAGGTTTGAAGGTGTCTACCTGCCTTAGGTCACGTAGGTTTTTTGTTTAGAAGAAAGTGAGACCTTCCTGTCTTTGTTCGGAAGAGAAGAGAGTACAGTAGGGAAGTAGCCAACATGTCGCAGAGATAGGTTTGCCAATCAGACCATGCACATGTACAGCTAAAGCAATTTCCATTATAACAATGGCCATGCGCAGCTTCATACACAGTAATGCATTCCCAAACAATCAACGGTACACAATACAAGAACTCATGGGCACTCAATGAAATTGCTGAACAGTCAGGTTAGAAGAGATAAAAGGAAGTCCTTCTTCAATCAAAGAGTGATTAACACATGGAATTCAGTGCCACAGGAGGTGGTGGTGGCTACAAGCACAGACGGCTTCAAGAGGGAATTGGATAAGCATCTGGAGCAGAGGCAGAGGTCATTTCGGGGGGGAACGCGGGGAAATGCAGTTCCCCCGGGTGAGGTGCAGGGGGGTGGGGCACATGACGAAGCCCCGCCCCCTGCTTCCAGCCCTCATTCAGCCAGGAGGAGGCAGGAGAAGAGGGAGGGTAAGTTGCTTCCTCCCTGCCTCTCCCCACCCCTGCCTGCCTGGGGCCAGGGAGGGCCTTCGCAGGGCTTCCTTGCACTCCCGCCGACCTTGCATGTCCACCGCCAGGCCCCTTGTGGGGCTCGGCAGTGGAGCTGCAAGGCCGGCAAGCCAGGAAATACACATACATATATGGGTACTGAAGTATCAGGTGAGCAAAAACTGGGAAGCAGAGCTGTGTTTATCCTTCTTGCGTATTTTCACTGGATTCATCCAGGTGGGCAGCCATGTTGGTCTGAATCAATAAAACAAATTTTGTGTCTAGTGAAACCTTTAAGACCAACAAGGGTTTATTCAAGGTATGAGCTTATACCTTGAAAAAATCTTTGTTGGTCTTAAAGGTGCCACTGGACTCAAACTTTGTTTCACTGGATTCAGTGAACCTAGTATTCCAAGTGTAGTCTGTAATATTGTTGGAATATTGCAAGTTCACTTACTTCTGTCATGACAGAGTTAAACTGTTTACATATGCTAATATTTGTGTTAGCTAACAAGTTAGTCTTAGAGCCAATCAGGGACCAGTCCTTGGTTCCTGTCAGGTAAAAAAGGAAGCCCTGCCCTAGAAAGATGACCAGCAGAATGACCATTGGTTATTTGAGTTTTGAATGTGTCTACCTGCCTTAGGTCACATAGGCTTTTGCTTAGAAGAAAGGGAGAACTTCTTGTCTTTGTTCTGAAGAGAAGAGAGTACAGTAGAGACTATCTACTATCAACATGGTGTAGAGACTATCTAGAGAAGATGTAGTCTCTTCAGTTAGGATCTTTACTTGTTTTTCCTTCCTATGTAACTCCCCTCCCTTGTTTCTAGTAAAGATAGTTTCCTTTAAATCTCAAACTCACGTGGTGCTGGCTGGTTGCTTATTTACTTTGCAAGCTTATACAAAAACCAACGTACAGGGAGGGAAGTGTTCAGTGCCTCCCTACCCAGCAACCTTTTCTTGATCTTCAAAGCCACTTGCAAACGATCACCAAAGTGGATCGAAAGTGCATTATTCAGAGAGTGTGAAAGCGCATGAAGTATCACTTACCTTTGCTCCTCAAAGGGTTCTCCAAACAGGATGTTTTCTCTGACACTCCCATGAAATATCCACGCCTGCTGAGACACGTAAGCCAAAGTCCCGTCCACGGCAACTGTCCCTCGGTGCAGGTGCATCTGGAAGAAGGAGGCTGGGCATTTAAAAGATCAAATTGGCCTCTCCGGGATCCGCTGCTGTTTACAGATAGGGATGATTTGATAAATGACTTTGGCCCTGGTCACGCAGGCCAGATAACGCGGAGGGGGAGGCGTGGCTGTTCGCCCTGGAGCAAAATTATGTGCGGTAATCCGATCACATGGTCCCCCCGAGGCTTTGCGCTTAGGCTGTTCGCTGGCGATCACACGGCGATGCTGGAGCGTGGCAAAGAAGCGGCGCGGCAAGCGTTTCGCGTTTGTACGCATGCACAGTTCCGTGGAGCGGCACTGCTTTCAGTTACGTGTTTGTGCGCATGCGCTTACAAAAAACATCCAGTTTACAACGGGACATGGACGGGCACCACAGGATACTAGCGCTCCCGCAATCAGATGCTGGCCCCTGCCCCGCGTTTCCCGGATACTAGTGCTCTTTCCGAGGTACTTTTTTACTGTGCATCTTCGGCGGGACGCCACGGGTTGGCCATGGGTGCGCTACGCTTCCCAGATGTTGCGGTGTGATCGCACACCAAAAATCCGCCTGACATTCGTGTCTTTAGCGCGGCAACTTGTCCATGTGAACGGGGCCTTTCATTTCTTTTTGAGACTGTGTATCGCTGTCGTCACCGGTGTCCCTTCACTTTACTTTTGTCATGGTTATCAGGTACTGGTTTCGCTTCTTTCGTGTCCTCTGAATGCATCCCCTCCTGTGCAGGGGTCCCAATCCCAACCAGCCCCCTCCCACTGCCCCTGCAGCCATTACTTAGTAATAAAACCCTGCTTAGCTTCCAAGATCTGATGAGACCAGGCTTACCTACACCATCCAGGCAAGAGACTAACAGAGGTGGTTTGCCATTGCCTGACTTTGAGGAGTGACCCTGGACTTCCTTGTTGGCGTCCCATCCAAGTACTAACCAGGGCTAACCCTGCTTAGCTTCTGAGATCTGATGATCAGGCTAGATTGGGACCTCTGGGTCAGTGGGTGGCCTACATTACCCAGATCCAAAGATCCATATATGCTCAGGTAAAGGTAAAGGTTCCCTTGCTTGAAAGCCAGTCGAATCCGACTCTAGGGTTGCGGTGCTCATCTCCGTTTCAAAGCCGAAGAGCCAGCACTGTCCGAAGACGTTTCCGTGGTCATGTGGCCGGCATGACTAAACACCAAGATGCACGGAACGCTGTTCCCTTCCCACTGAAGTGGTCCCTATTTATCTACTTGCAGTTTCTTGCTTTCGAACTGCTAGGTTGGCAGGAGCTGGAACTAGAGACGGGAGCTCACTCCGTCATGCGGCACACTCGGGTCTCGAACTGCTGAACTACCAACCTTCCACAGCCTGCAGTTCAGCGTCTTAACCACTTGAGCCACCGCAGCTCCTCATATGCTCAGGTACACATGGATTTATTTATTTATTTTGCATGAGTAGCATCCCTTGTTCTTGCTAAAGGATGACAGAGCACAGGAGTGAGCTACTGGCCTTAAAGTTGTGAGCGAGCTATTTAGCTACTGCATAAATTAGTTTACTCTGGAGCCATCCTTCCTGAGCTCAGACAAAAATATGTGAACTGGAGGCTAAAAAACTGTGAGCTAGCTCACACTAACTCAACTTAGAGGGAATATTGGTGATTATTGTGGCAGAATTTGGGGTTTCATGAGCCTGGGCCATTCTGTTCCTTATTTCTGGGTTGGTTTTGCTATAGCTAACTTCTGTTCTTTGGTTCATGTATCCCATGAGCCTTTGTTTGCTTGCTGGCAACTTAAGGGTAAAATTAAAGCTGTGCCCTTCAGATATACCTCTGGCCTGTATTCATCGCTTTCAGGCCCTCTATGTGCCAGACAATTAGCCTAACCATTAGAGATTAGAAAGGAGGGTTGTAACAATTCCTTGTTTTATATGTGTGTATGTCTCTTTAAAAGTTTGGTTGCATGGCTGTGTGAAAGACTAGAGTGCTTGAAGAGACAAGTGTGGTGTGATTGGTGGTTGACAGAGAGGGGGAGGGGTTTTGGAAGTGTTTCTGAGTGGATGAAAATGTATGTCTGTCAAGAGTGACAGTTACAGTTGAGACAGTTGATGAAGATAGTGGGACAGTTAGTTAGTTAGTTCTTTCTGAGGTCTGTGAGAGAAGCAGAGAAAAGTTCAGTTAGTTCTGTGTATGAAGGAAGTTAGAGAGAATAAGAAAAAGTAAATGAAAGCTTAATTGAAGACAAAATATAAGAAAGGCTGTATGTCCTGTTAAACTGGAGAGTAACAGTGAACTTATAAGACCTTGAGTTAAAGTTACAAAGTTACCTGAAAAATCCCTGACAGAAAGGGAGCTGATCTTGTGTGAGACACTAAGCAATGGTTGAAAATATTCACATTACTGGTTACATTGTTATACCCTTTTATTTATGAACTCTTTCAATAAATCTTCTTTTATTTAAGTCTGCTAGCTCTGAAAGAAATAATTCCTCAGGAAACACATTAGTTCCTAGAAAGCCTTAAACTCGACCTACCTACCCAGTAATAGAGTAAAAGCATAAAGGTTTGGAAATCCTTTTAAAATTTCCTGGTGGCAGCCGGATATACCCAGTAGAACAAAACATAAAGAACTCTTTTAAAGGGAAATCAGACCTCCCCAGATAAGGGGTCGTCACAAGGGTTCAACAGTATCTGAAGAGAATAGGGCAAAAAGTTATGTATCTAGGTAAAAGTTCATTGCTGATCTTACCATTGGTAAGCGGGCGGGGTCTGGTTTCCATCACGGACCACCCTGTTTTGCTTGGCATCTTGCACTGTATCCTCTAGGTGACCAGGAGAGTGTAAAATAGTATGAAATTGGATGTGCAGGGCTACTTCTTCAACAATCCCTCCTGTAGGGCTTGATGAGCCCCTTAAGGAACATTCCTTCTATTTTTGTTTTTGGGGTTTTTTATACAACTGGTTCTATTCTGTGTTCATATTTTACCTTGGTTACTTCAATAAAATAGTATGTTAGCCTGAAGCTGTTTGGATTGTTTTTCTCTCTGGAGAAAACTTAATTTCTGGGGTAGTCACACCAACCCTTTGGACCTTCTGGGGATTTTGCCTGTGGGGATACATTTTTATGAGAAAGAAGGCACTATACTAAGAGCCATATGGAATCACTATTTCAAATCTGTTTGCCACTGAATATGAAAGAGGAATCCTACAGCAATGAAAAAGTGTCACAGCATGGAATCCACCCACAAAAGTTCACAGGAAAAATAAATATTAACTTACAAAACATTCAACTTAGGGTTTCCAAATCGTTTTTACCTGGCGGCGTGGGGCCCCCGTTCAGCGTCGTCAGCCGAACTCTATGTTTTCCCCTCAAATGGCTGTGGCCCCACTCCCAGCGTGCCCGGCGTCATCACGTCACATCTGGATGACGTGCACGCTGGGGTGGGGTTTCCCCCGGGGCCCGATTCCCACGGTGGAAATCGGGCCTCCAAAGTGGGGGGAAATCCGCCCCCTGGGGGGATTTGGCAGCCCTAATTCAACTCTATTTGCGCTTGGAAACAAGGCTGATTTTTTTTAAAGCCAAAGTTACAAATATTGCATACCTGTCCTAGTATGGCTGATATGAGCGAGCTCTTCCCACTTCCGACGTTTCCACAAATCCCCAGAACTTGACCCTTAAAAAAACAATATTTTGAAGAACAGTTATTTAAAATGGTATGGCGTTTCCCGAATGAATGCTTTAGGCACAGAGGGAAGGCTCAGAATCCTTTTCTAGAGGGTCGCATCGTATGAAGCTGCCTTATAATGAATCAGACCATTTGTCCATTGAGGTCAGTATTGTCGACTCAGACTGGCTAAATCAGCAGATTGGGGCCACACGTAAATGGATTTTCCAGCAAACTTGGGGCACTCCCCAGGTTTGCAGAAATATATGGAGGGGGATACACAGGGGGGTTTAAATCCCCCCCAAAAGTAGAGCTCTCTGTGCGAGTGCAGAGAATGCTCTTTCTGTCAGCATATTGTTTTATACTGCTGGCAAGATGACAGCTAAGGTGATGTGAGTTAGTTAGATCATCTTGATCTAGAAGTGACAGGAGTACAGTAAGGTGACATGTCACCAGGTCAAGATTGCATCATACTCACAGGAGTCACAGTGAGTCAGCACTATGACGTGATTGGTGCTTCGCAGTATATATTCTGTGCACTCTGCCTGTACTTTTTCACTCTTATGAATTGGATGCCTTGCGAAGCACTTTGTTAGTCTGCCAAAGGATTTGGATTCTACCAGTGCTAACTTGGACTGTATGTATTATATTGTAAATAAAACCACTGTGTATAGTTCAGCACTAGCACATTGTGGATTGCATTATTCGCCGTGCTTCCACTACGCCGTCACTTTCTGGGAGTTGCGGCTGGCCATTCAGGAACTGCTCTGGGCCCTGCTCAGCAGCAGCAGGCACTGGGAACTGCTCCTGGCTCGTATTGGCTCCCAGACACTGCCACCACCAGGCTCCAAGGCTCATCAATGCGGGGGGGAGGGGGAGAAGATGGGACCCCCCCCCGCAGGTTTTACAGGCCCCCACTTGTCACAAGTATAGTAGCCTGATCCTGCAGGGCACCTCTCCGATGTTCTTACGCGGCAATGAGCTCCCCAGCCAATCACATGCCTTACGTCCTCCCATCCTCGACCTTGCACCTGGAAATTGGTGCGGAATGCTGCAGCCAGGATGTTGACTGGAGTAACTCATAGGGACCATATCACTCCAGTCTCGTTCCATCTACACTGTCTCCCAACTTGTTTCTGGTCACAAAAGGAGGAGGAGGAGGAGGAGGAGGAGAGGAGGGGGGAGGGGGAGATTGGATTCATACCCCGCCAGAGAGGCTTACAGTCTCCGTCCCTTCCTCTCCCCACTACAGACACCCTATGAGGTAGGTGGGTCTGAGAGAGCCCTTTTGAGGACTGTTCGTGAGAGAACAGCTCTGAAAGAAGAAGAAGAGAGAAGAGATTGGATTTATACCCCGCCCTTCACTACCCAAAGGTGTCTCAGAGCGGCTTACAAACTCCTTTCTCTTCCCGTCCCCACAACAGACACCCTGTGAGGTGGGTGGGGGCTGAGAGAGCTCTGACAGAGACTGCTCTTTTTCAAGAACAGCTGTGCCAGAATTATAGCTTGCCCAAGGTCAGCCAGCCAGGTGCAAGTGGAGGAGTGGGGAATCAAACCCGGTTCTCCCAGATTAGAGTCCACGCACTTAACTACTACACCAAACTGGCAAGAACTTGTGACTTACCCAAGGTCACCCAGCTGGCTGCATGTGGAGGAGTGGGGAATCAAACCTGGTTCTCCCAGTCTGCGCTCCTAACCACTACACCAAACTGGCTCTCAAGGTGCTGGCACTGACATTTTAAGCCCTAGATGGCTTGGGACCACTATACCTGAAGGACCGCCCACTCCATTAGGAACCTACCCAACCACTGAGGTCATCTTCAGAGGACCTGCTTTGGGTGCTCCAGCCTTGTGAGACTAGGCAGGTGGTAGCCCGGGAGAAGGCCTTCTCAGTCAGTAG